AAAAAAAAAATCATGGATGGTTTTAGACCACAAGAGAATTTCCTATGACATTGAACAATGCCAAGAATCCGATTCTTCCCAACTTCTAGTTTGCTTTTATCTCCCTACTGAGAATAATTTTCAAACTAGAAAGGATAAACAAACAACGTTAGGAGATGACTGAAGTTCCAAATAGACAGAGATCCTAAGAGACACTTAGCTGCTTCAAATGAGTGTAAGTACGCAGACCCAGAAAAATGAGACACATTAGTATTAAGCATCATCAATGGTTTACTACTGGGAACACGCTAAAATAAAGTAGCCAGATTTGGATGGAATTTGTTGACTTACCACTAAAGGGGTAGATCAAAGGAAAGCCATAACCAAAATATAGTGTAAATTTAAAAAGGCAGTGGCTAAAGTACTCCTCCATATTATTCTCACAGATATATTGGGAAGAAGTAGCTGATGGTTCTGTTAAATGGATTCATTGGTGGTAGAAATACCACCCATAAAGACTGCTACGTTTACATTTGTGCTAAGCCAAAGAGAGGTTCTTTAGAGGATGCATCATGGTGTGTTGAATTCCAGTTATAGAAAACGGGCTTACTAAATCTACAGATGACGCAGAGAAGTGACTATGTTGGAAGACAGACTTACGAGTCATGGAGATCTGGACAGATTATAAATATAGGCTAAAGCAAGTAAGATGAGATGTAATAGGGATAATTTAAGTTCAAGCAACACATTTACAAGTACCACATAGGGGAAGCATGGCTCCGCATGGCATGGAAAAAAGAATACCTAGAAGTTTTGAGTATTTGCCCAATGTGAATCAATGCCATTCAACAGCCTAGGAAAATGTGGCCTTTATTAAGGTAGGTTTTAGATCAACAATAATAATGTGGTAATTTCATTGTATTATGTTTTAAATAGCTGTTTTATTTTCCTTTTTATAATATGTGTCCATTGTGGAATTCTGGAGAATGCACATAAATGAGCAGAAAATAATGATCACCCACAATTCCACCACTCAAAAAATGAATACAGTTGCCGAAACCAGTCTGGCTCAGTGGATAGAGCATCGATCTGTGGACTGAAAGGTCCCAGATTTGATTCCGGTCAAGGGTATGTATATTGGTGCGAGCACATCTCCAGTAGGGGGTGTGCAGGAGGCAGCTGGTCGATGATTCTCTCTCATCGATGTTTCTAGCTCTCTATCTCTCTCCCTACCTCTCTGTGAAGAATAAATAAAATATTTTTAAATGAATACAGTTTACATTCTGGTGTTTATCATTCCAGACTTCTTAATGCACATTCTAAATGTTCACACACACTTATTTTTTTTCTTTAAAAAAAAGTAGGATCATACTACAAATGCTATTTTATGACCTGTTTCCTTGGTTTTGCATTTTTAATTCAATAGTACACCAAGTCCCAATGTATTCTACATTGGTCTAATGACAGGTAGTGCATTTTGTCCACTTCTGCTCGCTACACTTCAAGAGTCATTGCAAACTTTAAGAATATACAAAGAAAGAAAAATAGAGTAATAAAAAAGATGAGCATCTAAATTCACCTAACCTATAATGCCACATGACAAAAGGTTGCTAGAAATATGGTACTTCCATGAAAAAAGTATAGAAGTTTTATAAGAAAACAATATACATAAATGCATGCTCCTTAAGGACTGTACTGGCAGGTGAATTAAACTAATATGAACTGCTGGCAATTAAAGGGAGGTGGATTTCAACACAATAAAATTAATTTTTTAAATAATTAGAGCTTTCAAAAATGGAATAGATCTAGTCACGGGAGTAACTCACTGGTAAAAGTTGTGAGAGGCAATTCCTCTAAGTGAGATGTTGAGCTAAAAGGCCCCATTCTATTTGAAGATTCTATGATTCTAATGGAAAACCTACTACAAAAATTTACTCCCAATCCAATATGAAGCAAATCCATCGTCATTAAGATCTTAAGAAAAAGAGTCCAGTGCTTTAGAGATGCATGAGAAATTATAATAACACTGATAGTAAACACAAATGTGCTAAGTCAGTAGTAGGCAAACTCATTAGTCAACAGTTTGCTGACCACTGTGCTAAATGATTTGCATCCATTGTTTAACATCTCATTTAATCCTTACAACAACCCTATATGGCAGGTGCTGTTGCTATTCCCATTTTATAGAAGAGGACAGTAAGGAGCAATTTTATATTTATTTAAGGTCATTCTTACTTTTGCTAAAAAGTTCAGTTGTCACCCAAGAATACGATTCCCCATCATAATGGCCACTGCTCACTTAGGAGGCAATATGAATTCAAAAGCATCTTCACAAAATTTCTTAACTAGTGATCCCTCAAAGGGCAGTAATGAGATTTTTTTTTAATTAGAAAAAAATTTAAGGATTTTTTAATTAAATTATGCATAGCAAAAAATATTCAGATACACCTTAAGCTTTTGAAATTAAAACATTCAATGAATAACACATAAGATGCAGTAGAGCAGATCTGAATCACATAACTTCACATCTTGGCCAGTACTAATTATGGGACCTTGGGCAAGTTCTTGGTCTTCCTCTCTCTTTGGTCCTTCATCTGTGAAATGAGGATTGACCACTTAAGGTTGACATAGAATTCAATGAGATAGCACATGTAAGCATTTCACATAGGATCTCACACTACTATTGCACAACATAAGTAATAAATGGGTGGGGGAGAGACAACCCTATTCCACAATTAATTCCAAAATATTTTAAAATTTTGAAGTGTCATCATCATGTTTGAAGTGGAAAGGGTCACATTTTCCATTATCCTATAAATGAATTTCTGATGACAATCATTTATGAAAGAAAGTGACAACTAAATAAACTGTGCCTTCTCTTAGGAATTTCATTTTATGCAAGTGATCATCCGAAAAATACAATTTCAACTCCCATTTTCTTCAAAGACACTATTTTAGTTGTTTAGTCAGTATGAGGTCGAAAAATGCAAGTTTAACGGTGGTTACCGGGTTTGATTCTGATTTTTACAACTTGGTTCACATTACTCTAGTGAATATGTTTTTAGTTTCATTGTTCTCTACGTGCATTCTTGTTGTAGAGTGACTGCTACTGCCTCTGAAAGACAGCAAAATAGAAAGCCTCTCATTCAAGAGTTACATTGTGGGTCACAATTTTGAGATTTAATATTTACTAACATTAAGTAGTTGGTATTTTATTCCTAAAATTTGACATCTAGTCTTTTTAAAAATGGCACAAATGAAAAAGCATTTCATAGATATCTGCTGATCACACAAATAGGCTTTTTTTTTTTAACTATCTCAATGAAATTAACTGGAGTTCCCCCCGTTCTCAAAGAACTCTTCAATTTTATTCCAAAGGAACTGATTATTTTTAGAAACCTATTTTAACCACATAGGTTTCTAGCCATATTCAATTTTATAACTAATACGTCACCCTGGCATAAATTTATTTTACCCGCAACTTAAAACTGTAACCAGATGACTGCTTTTGTATAAATTACCTGTGACTAAGGGCAATTACTGGAGCTATAATCTAAAGTATGTACACATTATCTACTCATGTATGGAAGTGAAAAATTACTTAACAAGGGAGTATACACAAGAGTCGTCACTTCTAAGACCTACTGAAAAAAATGTTCCACAAGCATTTCATTGTTCGGAAGTGAACTGTCATTCCAATAAAATGTCACTGTCAACAAATACAGATGATCACTTACAGAGCTTTTTTGAATCCCAGCAACTATTTTCCAACCAAATTCATTTCACTGAAACACAAGTGATTTCATGTACCCTATTAGCCAGGACTGCAATTAATTGCATTGTCTGACCACTACAACATATGAGAACTGTGTAAAGAACGTACTGTTATCATCCAAAAGTTTGTATGAAGCACATGTTCAGAGTAGCACAGAACACCTTTTTAAAACCATAAAAATCACTTGGGCTCTTAAAAAAATTTTTTTTTGTACAAGTACAGCTGAGTTGCCTAAGAGATGGAGTAAAGATATGAATAATGCCTCCCAAAATATCCAGGATACATGGAAAAGCCATGATTGTAGAAACTAAAGCGCTTTCCTTGAATTTTATCCGGTGACTTTTCTTCAGGCATCTTCCCTCCCAACTGATCTCATTTGTCCATCTCAACTTCTAAGTTAATAGTTTTTTTTAATGTGTAAATGATCCCTGCTATTTCTAAAGCACTGCTTGCTGAATAAAGATCTTGACATTAAAAAAAAAAAATGTCATCCTAGAAAGATTCTCCAAGCAGCATCAGCCTCACCTGAAACATCTCCACACTCAGAGGCCTCTACCATGTTCCAAACCCAGGATCCCAATCCTGAGATACAAAATAACTAAGTTTCCACTCAGCTACATCCAGGGAACAAAGTGCTGCTGGGTTGCCTCATCAAGTTTCATCCACACCCTGTCCTGATGCCATCTCATCCAAGGTTCATTTTCCTCTTTCTGTGGGCTCCTAACCCCTCACAGAGCAAATAAATGCCTTCTTGCAAGAGAAGGTAGCAGCAATCTAAGCCTGTGGCTCTTGCAGGGTAATGGCATTCACGCTGTAGCTTCTCTGACAGTTTCATTCAAACAGACACACACACACACACGCGCACACACACACACACGCACGCACACCCAAAGGCTGGGGGGTTCCGGGCTGAGGCGCCAGAACACACACTGATGGAAAGCAGGTGCCACACCGATTTCCTTCCAGCAACACGGGTCCAAGTTCTGCACCATGGCTCTTGGAGGAAAGTAGCGACGGACGCCCTGATGGCAGGCAGGCTATTTGAGCATCACTCCGAGAACCCAAGGCGTCCATCCATCTGACCGGGAGGCTCGAGCCTCCTCTCCACGCACACTCCCCGTCTCGTTTGAAGAAGGAACCGCTATCCGCCAGCAGGTGCGGGTACCCCCGAGGAGGAGGAGAGGAGGAGGAGCAGCACGGATCCATCACAATGCTTCAGGAGGGATGCCATCCCCCCCGTCCTTACCTGAGCAGATTAGACAGGGGCAGGGGTCCGGATCCTCCGCCCAGGATCCCTCCTTTCCTGCCAGACAGGAGTTTCTCCACCAGAGCCACGTTGCCCGTGCGCGCCGCTTCCAGCAGCTCCTGGTCCTTCCCCATAGTCTCGCCCCGAGTCCTTTCCCCTCCGGGTCCTTCTCCCCGCCCACCCCCCAGTCCCCCCCAAAAAAATGCAGGGCCCTCCCCGCCCCGCCCTAAGAGAAGGCCACCCTAAGGGTGCTGCTGCTGAGGAGCGGGGCGTTGCAGGCTGAGGACCGGGGAGATCGGGGCGGGAGGAGCCGGAGCTCAGAGTACGGCCGCGGCAGCAGCGGCCTCGCGCGCCCCGGCGGCGGGTCCTCCCTCGCCGGAGCCTCGCGCGGGCCGGCGGGGCGGCGGGGCGGCTCCGAGGGGCACGGCGGCGGCAGCTCGGGCGGCCGGGGCCCGCGCCGAGGCCCGGCGGAGCGCACGGAGGGCGGGGGGACGCGCGGGCCGGGGCCGGGCGGGGGGCGCCGGGGGCTCCGCGGCGGCGCGGAGGCCTGGCGCGCTGGGCGGCCGGCGTGCGGGGGGCGTGTGCGCGCGGCAGGTGCGGCCGCGGGTCGGTCCCCAGTGGGGAGGGGGCGGGGCCGAGGACGGAGGGGGCGGGGCCCTGGAGGGGGCGGGGCCGGGCCGAGGTGATCCTCTTTTTTTTTTTTTTTTTTTTTTTTTTTTTTAATTCGTGGGCGGGGACCCTCTCCCTCCTCCCTCCTCCAAGGTTAACCGTGTGAGGACTGGAGTTCTCCACCAAGCGCGAGGAAAAGCCTCCATGGCGGGCACGGGAGGCCCGGGATGCTGGAAAGGGGCCCTGGGCTGCGCCCCCGAGGCTCACCTCTCCTGGGTGAGGAAGCAGAGGTTTGGGCTCCCCTATTGCTGTGGCTCTGGACAGTCTGTGGCTGTTCCAGCTCCGCCTGGGCTTGGAGGGGCTGCCGGCTTGTAAAAAAAAAAAAAAAATGCCAAGAAAATGAGCTCTCAGGGCGCAATATAAAGGGCCTGGGGCGGAGACCCACTGCCATTTGCATGTGTCATCCACAATGCCCTGTGAGTGGATGGCTTGGATGAGTGCCCATCGTGGAGAACACGCGTTTATTTATTTTCTTTTGAAACTTCTGGTGGGCGCCTTGCCTTGCGGTGCCTAGCCCTTGGGATACACTTCCTAAGTGTATTGGGGAGTCCAGGGACATAATAAGCACCCAGTGAGCTGGGTAGCATTACGGCATGTCCACTCTGGACGTGAGAAAGTAGTGGCACTAAAGGGTTAATTCGATCTCCGTAAGTGGTGGATATGGAACACCCGAACTGACTCACTGCACAGCCCAGGCTCTTCCTAATACACCTTCCAGGAAAAATTAGAATGGACGGGCAGAAATGATCCCAGGCGCTTGGTAAGCAGTTACTATGTACCACACACCATGCTAAGTACTTTCCATATGTTATCTCAACCCTCACAGCCACCCCGTGAGATGAATACCATATTCACCCCTATTTTACAGATGAAGAAACTTACTATTCCAAGATCATGCAGCTAGAAAGTTAGTCAAGGTTCAAACGCAGGTCTGCCTGCTATAGGCAGAGATTTTAAATAAAGAACTGGGGAAGACTTAAAAAAAAAAAATGTTTAGTGCCCTGGCTGGTTTGGCTCAGTGGGTGCAGCGTTGGCCTGCAGACTGAGGGGGCTCAGGGTTCGATTCCCGTCAGGGGCACATGCCTGGGTTGCGGGTTTGTCCCCAGTGGAACACGTGCAGGGGGCAGCCAATCAATGATTCTCTCTCATCATTGATGTTTGTATCTCTCTCCCTCTTCCTTCCTCTCTGAAATCAATAAAAAAAATTTTTTTTTAATGTTTAGTAATAACCGAAACTGGTTTGGCTCAGTGGATAGAGCGTCGGCCTGCGGACTGAAGGGTCTCATGTTCGGTTCCCGTCAAGGGCATGTACCTTGGTTGCGGGCACATCCCCGGTAGGGGGTGTGCAAGAGGCAGCTGATCCATGTTTCTAACTCTCATCTCTCTCTCTTCCTCTCTGTAAAAAATCAATAAAATATATTTTGTTAATGTTTAGTAATAAATAACAGCACAAGTATAATTTTTTAAATTTTTATGGAATTCAGTATTCTGTGATTTCAATAGAAAGGTTCGAAGTGTTAGGTAAATTTTGATTACTCATGGGAGTTTCCTGAAGGAAGTAGATATTGAACTAGTGTGTTGGTTTTTGTGGGGTTTTTTGTTTGTTTGTTTGTTTGTTTGTTTGTTTTGCTTGTTTCCTTACATTTTAGAACCTGTTTTAATGAGAAGATATTATATGTGATAAATAACATGATCCTTGACATCATGGGACCACCACACCAGTTAAAGAAGAAAGCCATTGATTTCATTTTGAAAGTTGTCATTCTCCTAATGTCACCTAAGCAAAACACACTTTTCCCAAAATATACTGTAAGTAAGTGTTCAACTGCTCAGAGCTAAAAATCTCCCCCGATTTTCATATGCAACATTTAATCACGGCTGAGTTGGTGATCAGGAAGCTCCTGAGTCATCTTGTCAGAATCAACTCCCAATGGGAAACCATTAGTAATGACTTACTCTGAGGATCAGTTCCACAGTTCCAGGCAGGATCTGATAGCGCAGTTTTCCAACTCCAAACGCTTTGTTTTTAATTACATCATAGCTTCTTGGTGAAAAGGAGAAAGGCTTGGCTACTAACTAACATGCAAATTAAAAGTGAAAACATACTTTCAAAAATCTGAAGAGGCAAAAAGCAAACAAAAAACACCTCCAGATTTTTTTAAACATCAGATTTCATTAAGATATTTTGCATCTGTATATGGGGACCAATTAGATCTCAGTTTGCATGCATGTGAAATATGTGAAATGAATAAGTTGTGTCTGATGGTCTTCACTGGCCTTTCCAGCCCTAATAGTCTATGGCTATGATGACATGTGGTGTAAGTTCTTTAAGTCATATTCATAACTGAAACTGTAAATCAAGCATAGGATAGATTTGCAGTCAATTTATATTCTGTTTTTAGTTACAAGAAATAAAATACATTATCTATTTTTCAGGTTTCTATAATCAAATATTTTTTTATCAAAATCTATGTTTCTTATTCTCAATATTAATAACAGTTGTAAATACATATTATAAATCAGGATTGATACTAGATTCTTTTTCTTATTATATGCCATATATAAAATTGTATATATAGTATACTAGGGGCCCAGTGCATGAATTCATAGACCTTGAAAAGAACAGTGGGCCACAAGGCTGTGGTAGGCACAGGGGCTGGTCTTGGCCCATCCTCCATGCCCCCGCCTGGCCCTAATTGCCCCTCAGGAGTAGGGGGAGGTGGCAAAGTCCTCATGGGTGATCTGGGTTGGCAGCCGCCCTTTGCATCCTCCGATGATGCCAAGTAATCAGGAACAGCTCTGGGCACCAGCAGTAGGTGCAAATGCCGACTCAGGCACCAGCTGTGGGTGCAAGCAGGGCTTGTGTCAGCAGCAGGTGTGAGCACTGGGAGGGAGCGCAGTGCACAGGAGCAAAGAATTTTCAGTAGCCACCCAAGGATCACCCCAATGACAGCAACCAATGCCCCGCCTTGGTCTGGCACCCCCACACACCTGCTCCACCATCCCACCACCACTGACACCCACCATTTTCCACACCTGCCCCCTGGTTGTCAACACACATCATAACAACCAGTTATTTGGTTGTTCAATTCCAGTTGTTCCGCTATTTGGTCTATTTGCATATTAGCCTTTTATTATATAGGATATTTTTGTATTATACTCACAAACACACACACACACTCACACACACATACACACACACACTCACACACATACACACACATACACAAACCTGTACCTGCCAGGATTAAATGAGACAAAGCAAACAATCTAGTATCATTCCTAGTACATAATAACACAATCTTATATAATAAAAGCCTAATATGCAAATTGACCAAATGGCAGAATGACCAGTCACTATGACACACAGACACTCAATGCAGGAGCTGCTCCCAGCCCATAGGTCCTAGTCCAGTCAAGGTGGGTGTGAGCAGGGTCCCCCCAAATGCAACACCAGTTGCCCCACAGATCAACCCTGATCACCGGCCAGACCTAGGAACCTGGGAACGAATTTGGTGCACCAGGCCTCCAGTTTTACTATATTTATGTACGCATAATTTATATTATATATAACCATATGATATCTACCCTATGAGGTAGATATTATAATTCCTGAAGAACATCTGAATCCCTTACTCTAAAGCTGATATATACCAGTACAGATCTAATTGTGTATATTTTTGGCAATTTGAGAATTATTACTCCAATATACACATATTGCTAGTCACTCCTCTTGGATTAATAAAAAGAGGTACTAGGGATTGAGGCTAGAAAAAGGAGATAAAGCAAAAGTATAGAAGTGGTTTCATACCCATTTAAAAAAAAAAAAGCCTTTGGAAACATAAATGGGAGGAACATGCATTTTTTTATTTTTTTAAATATATTTTATTGATTTTCCACAGAGAGGAAGGGAGAGGGATACAGAGCTAGAAATATCGATGAGAGAGAAACATCAACCAGCCGCCTCCTGCACACCCCCTACTGGGGATGTGCTGCAACCAACGTACATGCCCTTGACCAGAATTAAACCTGGGACCTTTCAGTCCGCAGGCCGATGCTCTATCCACTGAACCAAACCGGTTTCGGTGGAACATGGATCTTGACCAATCTTAGAATTATATACCAAAGTCTGTTTTCAGTGAGGAAGAGGAAATGATGATGTTTTAAAGCATCAAGTTATCAGCGGAGCTGAGAGAAGATAACCCTGTGATTTAGAGAGTGGGTTTGGAAAATATCTACTTTCTTTATGTCGAGCTCTGCGGTTACTGAGGCTGATAGGCTAAGGGATAGAAGTCAACAGCTTTCAGGTTACAGAATATGAAGATACTATATATCTAAAAAGAAGACCAAGTTTTCACCTTCTGCATTTCATTTGTCTCCTTATATCTTCTTGGCACAAATGCTGCCTCTCATCGTCTTCCTGAGGAAACCCAGGCAGCAAGCATATCATGGTGTTTACAGTCTTTCTGAATTTATGGTCATGGGTGTTGAAGGCCATAGAAAGTCAATCACCTATGTTCTCTAGGTTCTAACCAACTGAGAGTAGACACAAGGAACCAAATGAGCATCTC